CAAACAACAAACTTGCTCTTTGTCTATATATTCGGTTAGGTTTAATAAAATAAATTAATTTCTTACATTCGAATCCCTAATAAAAAAAAAAGTGTTTACGTGTAGTATTAAATCATACTTCGAATAGTATTAGTTTATATATATATAGAGAGACGCAATTGAAAAAAACAAAAGCAATACATTAATATTTATATTCTAGATCTATTATTTGACTAGGAACAACTTGGATTCCTTAATGTCCACAAAGAAAATCAATTGGTTTCGTCTTGAGATAAAATCTTATTGATAACATCATATCAATGGGTCTAATATTAAAAGAATTAAGAGGAGTGTGTTGAAAAAAGAAGTCACAAACTCTTATTAAATTTTTGGTTTCTTTTAGTAATTTGTTTTCTCTTTTGTATATGTTTTTTTTTGTAAATATATTTTTTCTTTTTGACCTTATATTTTGAGTTAATTAAGTAGTATAGAAATTGTCTTTATAATTATTTTTATTTTAGGAGTGTAAATAATAATTTAAGAGGGGTACAATTAGTAAAGGTTAATTAGGACTTACTGGGTGTGGATGGACTAATAATATTTTTTTTCTTAGCCCATGCTTAGAAGTCCACTTACTTATACAAGTGATTCGCACATCCAAGACATACATGTTACTAGTTTATCCAAGTGGAGAGCATGTCATATGACATTGTCTAATCACACCAAACATGTTATACCACATGACAAGCTTTTATTGACTTTTCTAGATTTAGAATGGTGATATATGAGTCACATTTTTTTTTGGTCTTGCCACATGACAAACTCTCATTGGTTATTCTAGATTTAAGGTATTGAGATGTAGAGTGTGGTTGGTCAAACTTAACTAGGTTGGTTTAGGATTAGTAGTTTGAGTTCAAGTTAACCTAACTTAGATTATCTTAACCTAAGTTAGTTTGGCTTGCACCACAAGCTACTAATTTCTATATATAGCTTTCTCCTTGTAATAGCTCATCACTTTTGATGAGTATATGATATATAACATTGAGTTTTCTCTTTTCCAAAAGTCTTAGTTTTCTTCCTTGGAGAAATCTCTCATTAAGAACTTTATCAAGGAATTCTTCCTTGTGGCATGTTCAACACATCTCTTGCTTATCTTCTACAAGAAATGGTGCATCCATCTTGAACACCTTCTCCATCATTTTGAGTTTTGAAGCTTTGATTCAACCATGTAAGAGGATACAGAGCACAAATGGAGCTAGTTAAAGTGTTCACCTATCACCTTCAACTTAGTTTCATCATATTTGGTATCATGAACTTTGGTTCTTTCATAAAGGTTTTCTCTAAACTTTTCATGTCTTGTGTTGTCTTATTATTTGTTTAGTAATCATTGTTGCTTAAATATAAATTTTTGCACATTACATGATAGATCTAAAATGTCTTAAAAAATTATGGTTCAATAATTTTTAGCACTAGTTTCTATGAACCTAATCTTTGTGTTCTACAATAAGATTCATGTTCTATAAGCTTTTCTTTATTTTTTGATGTCTAATATGTCATTTGGAGCATGTAAATGATTCACATGAACTATATGAAGTGTTATAGTAATTTTTTGTTTTGAAACCTATACAATGTTTATGTCTTAGATGTCATGTTTAGTCATTATTTTGTCATCACTTCTTGTTGTATTTTTTGTTTTTAAATCTTGAAAACTCATATGATATATGTGTTGGCCGAAACTGTATGTGTGCTTTTTTGCTTATGATCTTTGAGTTCATACATGTTATTAGATTATTAATATGTTCCTTGTAGAGTTAGGTTTTCATATGTCTAATAGTTTTAACTATTTTCTTATTTCCTTGATTTCTTTCTATTCAAATTGATTTCAAACTTTGGTGAAATATTATAAACTTTTGAGGTTGCACTAACATCATATTTTAACTTTTTCTTAGCAGTTCATTAAGTTTGAAAATCAAAAGCTTAAGTGAAAACAAGAGTAGTAGCCAAAATTTCACCAATTTTTGGAGTCCTTTTGAATTTTATCTTCTAAAGTTTTGCAAATTTGTGTTCTTATTTTGGAACATTTTGTGACATTATCCCAGAAGCTAAAATAAAAAGAAAGTAGTCACAAAATAGCTCCAAAATAAAAGAAAACAAAAGTGTGAGAAAAAAGAAAAGAAAAGAAAATATAAAAGAAAATTACAAGAGAAAAAGAAATAGAAAAATATTTGTGATAAAAAATATATATGAAGCTTAAAATCATTTTAAAAATACATTTCACATTTTATTTCATATTAATTTGTATTTAATTTGAAAGTAGATTTGAGTCTTCATTATTTTTGTGGTCCAAATCTATAACCTACCCTAGGATTACTCTTTTATTGTCCTAACTTCCAAAATGTGCTTTAATTTTTATGTGTCTATTTCTTTGTTATTCTTTCTAGTTTTGTCATATCTCGTTTCATTTAAGTTTAACTTATTTTAATTGTGCTTTTTTCTTTAGTTTTCCTTATAATTTTAACTCTAGTGTGTTTTTGGTGTGCTATTTCTTTGTGTGAAGGTAAATAAGGTTTTTGTCATAAGGTAGTATCTTGAAATGTCGATGAAGGTCCAAGAGATTTGGCTCCTTGGTAGAAGCTACCTTTTGGAGGAGCTTCTAAGCTAAACACTTGGAGTGGAGTGAAGAGTAAAAACTAGATATTTCTTACACTAATGAGTTTGTTCATTGTGTAGGAGAAGATTGAAGGCTTGAAGACTTGTATTTTGAGTTGTAATTCTTGATTTTATTATTGCTTTTAGTTTATTTTTTTTAAGGTCTCTTGCTTTGAAATGGTTTTGTGAGGTTTTAAGTGCCTACTCAAAACCTCCAATTTGTTTGTAAGGATTCAAGTAGTTTGCGCCTAGTACTTGTGAAAGTGTGTTAGGAAACTCATAAGTTTCCACCCAAACTTTCACATAGGAACATGTCTAACTTGCATCTTTATTTTTCTTTAATTGTTTTCTTTAATTTCCTATCAAATGTCAGAGTGTTTAAGAAGTTCCAAAGACTTCTTTAAACGCATTAGGTTGCATTTTTTGTTCAGTATAAGAAATATCTCTTTCTAACAACTTGCATCATGCCTAAGAACACTTCACACACTTCTCAAAGTGGTAGTGACTCTGATTCACCTCCAAACCTTTCAAAACTTATGAGTAAATTAAAGGCACTTAAGCTTTGGAAAAAAAATAAGAGATGTTAGTGAAAGAAAGAAAAAGAATTGAGATGGAAGTAATAGACGCTTGTTTAGAACAAGAGATAAAATAATTTAGAGAACAACAAAAACACTTGGCGAAGAAAAATAAGAAAAAGCATGGTAGTAGTAGTAGCTCCCCTAAGAGTCATAGCTTGACTTATCATGAGGATAATTTGTACATGAGTGACTATTACCATAATGAGCTAGAAATCCTAAACCAAGAAGAGAGCATAAGGTAAGGAAATCCAAGGTGGATTTCCCTCACTTCCATGGGAAGGATGATACGGACACATATCTAAATTAGAGATGAAAGTGGAATAACTTTTTACTTGCCACCAAGTGAGTCAAGAGAGAAAGGTTCCACAAGCGACCCTTAGCTTTCAAAGGTATGCTATGTATCGATGGACCTCCTTAGAGAGAGAGAATGATTTATAATGAGCCTAGTATGAGGTACTGAAATTACCTCAAGAGTGTCATGAGAATGAGACACATACCCTCCTATTATGGATGAGAGCTTATAGATAAACTTTAAAGACTTTATAAAAAAAAATATGAGTATTGAGAAATATAGACAAAAGATGGAGTCATCATGATAAGGGTAAGTATAAAGGAATAGTAAAGAACCATCATTGCTAGGTTTCTTAGTGGCATGAGTATTAAGAATGACTTAGTCCAATTGTGCATTAAGGTAGAGCAACAATTATTGAGGAAAAATTCTAACAAGAAGGATTCCTCATTATTATCTTCATACCATATAAGAAGGACCATGGCACTACAAAAAAAATAACCTATGCCTACAGACACTTTT